TTGCAAACTAGCAAGAGGTAAGTGGCCTGTGTGTCCCCAACCTCTTTCCCCCCAGCCCTCGGCCCCAGTGCTGGAACGGAGGTGGGTGGGAGGGGGGGGAAGTGCAGCCTTCCCTCTATCCTGTTGGGACCGGGCTGCGCAGCTTCCCCCCACAAGGAGCCGGGGGGAGCATCTGCAGTGCCTTCCTCACCACCACAAGTGGCCCCAGTGAGCCCAGCAGACCTCCTGGCCCCCTTGCCTGGGCCCCCCACGCTCTGGCCTAAATCCTGCACCCCCCCAGCCTAAGCCCCTTCAAGCACCCAGCACCCTTCTCTGAGCCCCTTCTCACATCCATCCCTCTGTCCTGACTCATGCACCCCACACATCACCAGCGTCCTGCCCTGAAGGACCCAAGCGATGCCAGGAAAGTCTAGTTTTTAAGTATTTCAGACATCTCTCTCCCAGAATGTGTAATAAGAATCTCCCACAAAATAAACAAATGCTAAATGAAGTGCAGTGTTTTTAGAGGTAAATACTAAGGATGTTCAATTTAGATTAATCAACTAATTGAATAGTCAATAAGGGCACCTCCACCTTTAAAATGTAGCAAGAGTCCCGTCGGCTCTTGCTACGTTTCAAAGGCAGAGGCACTGGGGGAACCACGGGACTCAAGCAGTACATATTGTAGACTGCTGCCAAACAGTTAACTGAATGTTTATGTTCTTTACAGCTGTGGACTTCTTCAACCAGATCAATATGCTTTATGGGACTATTACAGACTTCTGTACGGAAGAGAGCTGCCCGGTGATGTCAGCAGGTCCCAAGTAAGAATATTTGTTATACATCACTGAGAGGGTACAACTTCTGAGATCAGTCTCTGTTTGCAGACTTGTGATAATGCTCATTTACTCTTGAAGTAAAGGTGACGTACAAAGACAGAGAAAACGTTCCCTTTCTTCATGCTTTTTGATGTAAAAGAATGCCTGACACTATAGTGGGGTTGGCACTGGTGGTTAGGTTCTCATGCCTCCCCTTAGAAATATCATGAATGTCCAATTTTATCTTCCCCGGTGAGTTCTCTAACAAAATAGTCTCTGCAAGGCAGACTGGCAGTCATTTGATCCCTGAAGGGTTTGGGATACTGAAAGCTTTTCTTTGATGTATTTTAGTTCACTAGATATCGCAAAACTCATCAACCACTTAATCTGAACAGAAATCCCTCCACAATTGCTGAAGTTCGACTTATTTCATACATGCCATCTTGTACTTCTGCAGCTCTCCAGTGTTTTCTAGAAAAATATGCAAGAAGCACAAAGTTTGAAGTCCTGGGACTGAGACATGCATAGGGGGAGGGAGGGGCTAACAGTCCCACTAAACTAAGAAAAAACACTTATCCTGTCTTAAAACACTTACCTCAAAGAATCTGAGGGGTGGCCTTGTTCGTCTTTAATTTTTAAAAACAAAGGGTAGTCCTGTGGCTACGCCTTCACTTAACTAACTCTTACGCTAATGAGAACTATTCATACAGAATAGCTTGGAAAATGCTAGGGAATCGCTTGAGGAAAGAGAAGAGGAGCACCTGACTGGTGGTAGGAAGGAACTGAACAGGCAGGGTTGTCAGAGCCCACTGTAACTGTGCAACTTCAGGGGGCTCCGCAGCTGACCTGACGTGTACCATTAGGGGAAAATCCTTTGGATGACTGAGCGTGCGGCATGCTCGCACTTACTTGGGCTCGACCTGAGTAATCACTTGCAGAAGTATTACTGCTGCTACTGCTTATTTAATTTGATTTACATGCAACTTTCCAGTCAGTCACCACAAAAACACGTGTCCTGCTCTGTCGTTGCAACGTCCCTCTAGCAAAATTTGAAAAGTGCAGATCTATTGATTTTCACCGTAAATTTCTGACAAGACGTGCGTAGCACTATTTAGCTATATTAAAAGGGAAACATATCTGATTAGTGATGCACACAGAATGTAGAATATAAATGGTTCACTGTTGCAAATCATGGAGACATCCAATCCATTTTCAAAGTAAAACCGAAAGGTTTGTTTTCAGATGCTTCTAAAATATGGAGTCAAACTGAAGATCCACTGGTATGTGAAAATAACGTTCCTTCTGGCATGGGCTTGGATTCATGTGCATCTGCTGCACATTATTAGTGTTAAGTCTA